CATCATCCATCATCCATCCATCCATCCATCCATCCTCTATCCATCCATCCATCCATCCATCCATCCATCATCCATCCATCCATCCATCATCCATCCATCCTCTATCCATCCATCCATCCATCCATCATCCATCCATCCATCCATCATCCATCCATCCTCTATCCATCCATCCATCCATCCATCATCCATCCATCCATCCGTCATTCATCCATCCGTCATCCATCCATCCATCCATCCATCCATCCATCCGTCATCCATCCATCCATCCATCAATCCATCATCCATCCATCTTTTTATCCACTCCTCTGTTTTTGTGTTTTGTTTTTCAGCACCAACAGACCTCTACAGTGTATCTGCAGCTGATATAAACCCTGCAGTAGAACCAGTTAGCAGGAGGCTCAGCAGGTGAGGAGAACATCAAAAGGAAGCAGAAAGTGTTGTTCTCCTTACAGAATGAAGGATTGTTGTTTTTTAAATCTTTGTGGGGCTCGATGTTCAGTTCATCCTTCAAAGCTCTGACAGCCTCGTGTCTTTCCTTCTCCATTTCCTCCAGATCCGTCTTTGCTTTCTGTTCTGGTAGATTGCTCCTCCATTTCTTCCGGATATGCATTATTCCCTCTCCTCCAGTCTGTCCGACCTCATTTATCTCAGGGCCTCTCCGACCCCCCCGCCTCTAATAGTCTGGTGTGTTCTCTCAGCTTTTCCATTATTTGATGCTTCCTCGTCTTCGTTTGTCTTTTCATCCTTCCCTGCCTTTCATTTCACCCATTTTCATTCCCTTCAGCTCTCGTCTCTCTTTGACCTTTCCTTTCATCCAGTTTCATCTCATTTCTACAACTTTTTTCTTTAACGACACCTCTCTGTGTCTCTGTCGTTCTTCCACTGAACGCTTCGTCTCATCCCGTCTCTGCCCTTCATCCCACAGAGCTGGGTTCTGCAGCCCACCCTGATGAATGAGACGAGGACGTGACGTCCGATGGACAGCTCCATGTCTGTCAGCCTGCACGCTCGGCAAAACGTTCGAAACTGTCAGCCGAGGTTTGAGCTCGTCGGAGGAGTTTGATGTTTCTCATCAACGTTACGTTTGATTTGTAATAATTATGATCCTCGTTTCCTACTGAAAAAAAGACTTCTTCAGTGATTTTTGGTCAACCGTAGCACGGAAACGGCTGCACCAATCAACAAGAAATTTATCAGGAATATAGATGAGTCCGACCTACACTGCTCCAGCCAACGGTTTTATGATAGACCCCATATTTAAGGAGGGGGCTCCATCTGAAAAGGGGATGTCTGGAAAAAATCTTATAGCTCAACAACTATTCAACACAGGAGCTTCAGATTTTCTTGTTTAGCTCTGATGAAGGCCATCCATCAGGCCCACCAATGAGCCCCACCCGCCCCGCGGACCCCCACCCCAAGCATTGGTGTTTTGTGTATGTGCGAGGTCATATTCTTTCTCTCTTGCTTTGTTATGTTTTTGTTTTTGGAATATTTACACTGGTATCTTTTGTTTGTTAGTGTTAGCGCTGGCTCTTTTGTTTATGGTGTTTTAAATCAGAGGTTCTCAAACTGGAACAGGACCTCCAGGGGTCTGCGAGCCATATCTTTGGGATCCTCAAAAATTTTCAATAAATTGTTAATTTGATTTTTATTTTAAAAATGCATTTCAGGAACAATCCACTAGTAAAACAAACACACTAAACCAAACAAAAGGTAATATTCTCATGGTATTTAGGAGTTAAAATGACAGTAAATTATTTTTAAAACAGCATGGGGTTCATGAGGGGGTCCCTGGAAATGTTTCACCCTTGTAAGGGGTCCCCAGACCCAAAACACTTGAGAACACTTGTTTTAAATTGTTTTGATTTTCTTTTTGACTGATTTGTTTTAAAGTGCCTGTGACATGCATATTCTTCAAACACAAAGTCAAAGAAAACATTTTTATATTTAAGAAAATTGGAATAATATGCATGATTTTACTCATTTTGTCTCATAACTGGCAGATTTTCTTTTGAACTTGGCTCAGCCAAAGTGAAACAGGAAGTGACATCAAAGGGGAACTCTTTAAGAAAGAAAACTCTCTGGTCTTTGTTTATCTTCATCTCTGATAGTGACTTAAAATAATCTTATTAAACATCAGATTCTTCTCTACAGGCCGGGTTGTTAGCCATTTCAGCAATGCTTTGTTTACATACAGACATTCCCCTTTGACATCACTTCCTGTTACTTCACAGGCAAATATCTCAACAACTGTTCATCTCAGCGACATGAAATTTATTTTTGCAATATTTTGTCAATGACATCTTTTTAAAAATGCATTCATATGTATTACAAAAATTTGACATCACAGCCCCTTTAATGTGTTTTTTCTTTGTGGACCCCAGGAAGAACAGTCTTCACTTAGGTGGAGACTAATGGGGATCTATTTTTAATAAACTAAATAAACTAAATATTTGCTACTGCTATGTGGTATCCTGAGGTGGATAGAGTACACAAAAAAATTATACTCAAGTAAGAGTAAAGAAATATTTGGTAAAAAGGCAGCTCAAGTACTGAGTCAATCATTTAATATTTAAAATGACATCATCTGATGAACCAAAATTAAAAGCTAATTGGAAATGTTGGTATTTTAAAGATTGAAATTAAAATAATTCATTTCTTTTTTCAATAAGAGTAAGAGTAGTGATACTTCAAATTAAATTTACTCAAGTAAAAGTAAAAAGTACAGTTCAGTAAAACTACTCCTAAAAGATATTTTTCCAAAAACTTAAGGAAGTAAATGTAATTAGCTACCAAACTGTGACCCGTTCACATATCTCCATCAGAAGATGATACTGTTGTTTTGTGATGTGCAAAAGTTTTAATCCATCCTCGATGTCGCCCAATAAATTGTCAACAGTAGACCTTTTTTCCACGACTCGACTCGACTTCCAGCTCAGTTTTTAAAACCTACTGGTCGTCTCCTTCACAAGAATCAAACCCACCATTTTTAAAACCTCAGCATTTGTTTCCATTATAAATGTATCCATTAAATGAGACAGCAGAACAGCTAAAAGCTAAAAGTAGCATAAGAAGACAGAAACAGAGCCGAAGCTGAAGCAGATTTCAAAGAGAACAACTATTTCTTGAAAGAATTAAAGAGATTTCAATGAATTTCTAAATGGAAAATGTAGTGAAATAAATTGAAAATAATAAAAATTACAAAGAGCAAAAGTCACGGCACACATCTACTGAATGAGCCGAAGCTTTTCATAGACAAACAGCTAAAATAGCACCATAAAAATATATGGGAAAATAAGAATATGTGATTCTACACTTCTGATAACGTCAGCTGCTTGTTCTGACCGTCGTCGCTGTTGTCGTCCACCAGGATGATCTCTTTGAGGAGGTGAGCCGGCGTGTGATTGACAGCTGAGTGCACGGAGCGCAGGATCACCGACAGAGCCTCGTTCACAAAGATGAAGATGAGCGAGATGGAGGGCAGGTCTCTGGAGTAGTTGACCTTTCTGCATCTGGAGGAGGAGGAGACAAACAAACAGAGCATCTTTCAACCGAGCCGCCGTCTGCGCCGCCTCATCCTCTGCTTCCTGCAGCGCACGCCGCTAACAGAGCTGATCTCTGCTGCTGTTTCAACCCTTCTGTAGAAAAACACCTGCAGCGTTAACGCTCTCCTAATCAATGTAGCATTTTTCCTGCATATAATTAATCATTTCTGATTAGATTTAACTGGTTCTTATTTCTGCTCAAAGAAAGAAACAAAATCCACTTTAACTTCAGACTTTTTCCAAGGATTTTGCACGGAACTTCCCTTTGTGGCCCTAATTAGCATCTCTCGCCAACCCCCCACTAGACTTTGCGACGCCTCAGCAGACAAACTGAAAGAATTTACATTCTGATAAGTCCTTGTGCTTCCACCCCCATAAGGACTGCCTGCCTATTCTTCTTCAAGGGGAGGGGGGGCATAAACACCTTTAACCAGACTCTTCAATGACTGAAACAAAGGAACTTACATTCTTCATTAAATGTGAAAAAAGAAGGAACCAGATTGTATGTTTTTATACAACTGTCTGTTTTCATATATCTTAATCAAAGAAATGTGAATTTACCTTTTCTTTTACAGAAAGAACAAAACCCATTGAAGCTAACTGTGTTTTTTTTTTTTTTGATGAAGTGTTTTCCTAAGAAGATGTTTCTTTTATTTCATGATTTTAAACTGTGTTTTATTCATGATTTAACCCTTAGAAACCTTAGGCCTTGAATTTTTAACTAAATGTGACACTCTTATTTTACTGAGGTAAATAGATGTCTCACCCTTTAATTAGATGCAAGATAATTAAACTAAAACACTCCCTTTTCTTTGTCCTGAAGTAAAGTTTTCCCTCCAAAACAGATTTGTTAAAAAACTTTTCCTGTATAAGGTTTAATATTTTCATTGGCCAACTTAAAAGCTTGACTCCGCCCATAACAGTTTTAAAAGTTAGTGCAGCTTCCAAGATCGACAGTTAGTTGGTTGGTTTTTTCTTTGAGTCCAGTGAATGCTTTCAGGAGTTCGAGAGAGGCCTTCCTGCCAGCCCCTCCCATGGCTGGACAGGAGGGGGGGTCATTCCACATCTCCCGCTGATCGATCTAATAGCTCTCGTTTCACATCGGCTCAATATCTGAGTTTGATTTTACAAAAGTCAAAAAAAGCGAATGGTAATTCATGCGTCGTTTTAGCTCGTTTTCTCTACAAAGTGGAAATCAAATTAAGGAGTCTTGCAGCCACCTGGAGGACCAGAGAGCGACCCCCTTCTCTGACCAAGGGACCAGTCGAGTTTATCAGGCAGACCGCCTGATATATGTATGGAGAGCCTGTCTGGAGAACGACCCCCAGAGATGACCTTCCACCGCTGACTTCCCTCCTGGTACCCACAAGGCCAAACAACAGGGTAAAGGTGAACATTTGTCCTGGTGACACACAGGTGCTCAGACGTAAATTTGATTTTTATCTTTGTATGAGATTTGGTAAACTAAACACTTTTTCGACCTAATTTAACTAGGATTCCTTAGTTAAATCCACAGCTAAAAGCAACTTACCTCACCTCACTCTAAAGCAAAACTCACCTCTCAGTGTTTACTTTATGATTCGTCTGTTTGTTTGTTATTCACTTGTGATTGCAAACTCTCTCAGTTTTTACCTGGTTCAACATGTCATAGTTGTAAATACATTTAATCTGTAAATAAATGGCTCGTGGAGAACGCGCCAACATAAGCTAATCTCATTTTTGTGTCTTGATAAAAGATATTATTGGTTCTGATAAGACAACTCATAAAATCATTTTGGGTACAATTTATTGTGAGACTGATTACAATAAAGTTACAGGTTTTCGTCTCTTTCCTGGGTCAATCCTTGATCGAATTAAAGAACGTGGTGCCTCGAGGAAAAATATATTTAAAATATATTTAAATATATTCACAAATTATCCATTTTTAGAATATACCCAAAACTCCTACATCAATAACCTCATTTCAAATGTGAGGTGGAACCTTAATTATGAGTAATTACACAATGAATCCAAGGTTTTCATAAAAATTCATGACACTCTTCCTGGCAGCGAATTCAGGAAGAGGAGCACGAGTATCAGTGGATTAATCATAAAGATCTGCGGCGCACGTCGAGATTTTCACATTTTTCTCTGCAAGATTTGACACAAAATCAAAACATGAATAAAAACCAGGATATCTGTTTTTTTAAGGACATAGTTTGATCAGACACAAACGATGGTCGTTGCAGACATTAAAATCAGAGTAAAGAACATGAAGAAGTGGATAATGGAGTAATTATGGCAATAAGAGATTGGGGCAGTTACAGCTGTGTGCAGGAGACTGAAGAGCTGCATCAACAGTTTCAAATGTGAGTGTGAACTTGTCACTTCACAAGTACAGCTTCACTGATCCTCCTGAATGTCAGGGTAAGTGTGATTATAGGAGCCGAAGACTCATCAGCCGAAGGCTCATCAGCCGAAGGCTCTTCTAATGACTTCAAGCTGACAGATGTGTGCAGATTAAACTGGATGTGTTTATATTCCTGACCCTGACTCATAAAGCATTTTCATTTAAATACATAAAGATTTATTAAATTCATTTTACCATTGTTCTCTTCAGCTTCTATTGGCTGTATTTATGTTCTTCTGCTATGTTTATATTTTTAGCTGCCCACTTGTTACTTTTAGCTCAGCTTTTGTTTCTTTTAACCTGAAGGACATCGTTTGTATATTTTACTTAAACTACTTTAAAGCTTTTGTGATTTCTATAGTTAGTTTTTTTCATCTTTTATCCAGCCTTTTGTTACTTTTAGCTTTTAACACATCTGTTTACTTTAGTTCCTGTTTTTTACTTTTAGCAATTCGTTTGCTGTGTTTACTTTCAGTGAGACTTTTGCTACTTTTAGCTTTTAGCTAACCCTTAACTTTTTGTAACTTTTAACTCGCCTTTGGCTGATTGTAGCCTTTAGCTACCAGTTTTCTATCTTTAGCTGTTAGCTGGCCCTTTGTTGCTTTTAGTTATCCTTTTGTTACCTTTAGCTAGCTCTTTGCTACCTTTAGGTAGCCTTCTGTTACTTTTACACTCCAGTTTATTTTAATGTCCCATTTTTATATTTTAGCAATTAATTTCCTACGTTTACCTTTCAGTTAGCCTTTTTTAACTTTTAGCTAACGCTTTGTTGCTTTTAGCTAGCCTTTTGCTAATGGTAGCTTTTAGCT